ACCTGTACTATGCCTATATTTTTATATTTGAAGGGGGGCAGTTGTACCAACCAGACATGTATGTTCTCTCAAGCAAATCCTTTTATTTTACAAGTTTGAAATGTAGTACAGGTTCTCTTTTCCTTTGAATGAATGCATGTGCTAGGAAAATGAAGTTTGAATGGTTGTCCTTGCTTTAGACATTGCTCCTGTTCAGTATTTTAGCAAGTCCAAAAAAATAAAGCTCAACTGCCATGATACACTGCCAAGTTTTAAATATTTTCAAACAGCTTTATAATGATAAAAAGGGGTCAATCTACATATTATTTGTTCTTGCATACTGCTGGGACTGATCTTGTACCCCTGTGTAGTGCCACCTGCAGGTTTTAAGACACTGATTAGTAAGGGGGAAAAACTTTACTGAATACCTCAAACATCTGGATATGGTGTTTGTTGGCTGCAGCAAAATTTTTCAAAGTTAAAAGATGAAATAGTGAGAAACCAATTCTTAAAAGTAGAGGCTGTGTGGAACCTCTGGCATTTTTGGGTCATTTCAGGAGACGCTGATGCTGTTCAAGAGTTTTGGGTATATGCAAGAGGAGCCATTTGTGGAAACTCAAGGCATATAATCAAGACTTTCTTAGTCCTGGCTATGTCTACCATCATATGAGTAGCACTGTAGTTGATTATTTTCATAATAGTTATTAGATCAAATCTAAAAGTGGGGTGGCATGCCCAAAGACTAGTCAGCTTTATGGTAAGTAAAACTATTGCTGCTAGACAAGGAAAGACATATGCAAATAAGCAATCAATATCAAATAAGTATTACCCTTGTGCTAACTGTCATGTCACTTAGCTCAGCTGTCCCTGCTGTATCAAATTAGCTAATTAAAACGGTATCAAATTACAAAATTAGCACATGACTTTAATAATGAAGTTCAATACTCCCTCTTAGTGGTTTCATAATGTAAAAATGCATAATCTTGTTAAATATTTTATATAATTATGAAGTGATTTAAATGCATTTATCTATTAATATTTTATACACAATCCTATTAAAAATTTATTAAATCAGAATAATTATTACTTTTTCATAATAAACCCTACTGAAGCTAGAAAATGTAAAGTTTTTTTATTTGTAAAATAGTAAACTCCAGCACTCAGTAAATGTACATATTGACTAGGACTGTATTTAATATTTTTGGACCTACAAAACAAAACACACTTTAAAATCTCATGTAATTAAGTATATAAATACATGTGTATTGTGTATGGTGAGTCACTTCTACATGTAGTTAAAAAAATCAAGCATGCTATTCTGACAGGCTGAACACCTTCCAAACTAAAAAAAAAAAACACACCTGATTTTAATGCTCATTGATTGCATCTTAATCTATTTTATATAGATATGTAACAACGTGTTATTTTTCATTGCTGTGAGATTTCACTCACTGAGCTGCTTAGGTGAAATTTGATTGAAAAAAATCCATTCTAGTGATCCTTGTGTTTTTTTTTCTTTTTTTATTATATTTACATACTGCCACTAAAAAGTATGAGCCTAATTAGAGGCCTATATTTAGCACAAGGGCAGGTCCAGCAAAGATGAAATTAGCTATTGTAACCTTGGAAATAATTTGAAGTCCATTGTGCACTTTAAAAAAAAAAACGATTTACATTTTACCATTCTAATTAAGTCCAATGCAACTTACCAAAATGGCAAGATTTCACTGATTCACTGATTTATGCCAAAATTATGGGGAAATGTGAACTCTCAATGTTGCTCATCCCTAGTTGCAATCAACATGAAAACCTTGCCAAATCAGCATTTTAATTAATAGCTGCCATTTATGTAATCAAATTATGCAGACTTTAATAAGGTAGAGTTACATACAAACCAGAGACAGGTTAGACCAGGGCTCAAAATTACAAGTCCTGAGCTACTAGCCAGGCCTTAAGAGTTACTCGCCACCAGTCGCCCCACCTGACCCCTACCGTGCCCCGCCCTTAACTCCGCCAGGTCAGTGGTGTGACACAGAGAACATTGATCAGTAACAATGCAGAGTGCAGAGGCCAGTGGTGTGATGCAGAGTACAGAGGCCAACTCAGTTCTCTCTTCTCATCATAGAGCGACCGAGGAGCAGCGGTGTATTTAGGTTTCGTGCTGCCCTAGGCAAGACGAAACTTGGCACCCCCCCAATCTAAATTTGTTCCACCTCTTCCTGTTCAAGACATTTTGCATAACCTGTCAAGTCACTGGATACAGCTTCTGACAGATTGCGCTATTAGGCATCATTCACACTGCTTAAAGTCGGCCCGTACAGATCCGTGGGACAGATCCGCACGGACGTATTGGGCCGTTCCCGGGAAGGACAGGTGCTGCGTGTGATTTGTACGCAGCAGCCTGTTCTTCTCTATGGGAGGACGCGGCCGTACGCTCAACTGAACTGCACATTTGCACGGGTGCGGATGTCCATACTAATAATTTACAACTCATTCTTATAGATAACCACAATTTAAACATAAATGTTTTAATTGATTTACCAAAATACCAGTACATTTAACAGGATTTTGGTCTAGTGTCAGACAAGAAACAAGATTTTGTTTTTGAATATCTGAGTATTAGCCTTCAGTTATGTAGTGTAAGGATTGAGTTTACTGTGAAGAAAAGTTGGAAAATTGTATTTTTGATGAGAAAAGCTTTGTATTTTTGTTCATTGTAAGATGGATGTAGATGATGGTATATAGCTGGTTCACTTGTACAGAAGGAGAAATGTAACTGAGTGCTTCCGAGCTCTTCCAAACAGAGCTGGCAAGTAGCCAATGAGATCCATAGCAACATGTAGGTTAAACAATGCTCCCTGTGTTTATTTTGAATCCAGGAAGCCCATCGCTAAATTCTTATCAGTTTTAAACCCATTTGAGGCAACGCAAAATACAGAACAGAAGGCAACAGGGAATACTTGATTATTTTCAGAAATAAAATATTCAGAAAGCAGTTCCCATTTTTGTGTGAGGTCTTACAGCTGCACAATAATGATAAAAAACCCTTATTAGCATCATTGTATATAACTATAAACCATTTATTTGTATTGCTCCATACTTTGCTACTGTCCTCTATCAGTGGGTGTGGTTCTCATGTTACGTAAGATAGGGCAGTAAGTAGAAGAGAATGCATATGATTCTGCAAGTAGAACAGGATGCCATGTGTTGGTTGAATGATAGTTCCCTTTGACAGACCATCCAGAGAAACACCTGTTAAGGTGGGCTGTGAGTGAAATGGAGTCTGCTGGATGTCCCACTGCAGTATCCCATATGATATGAGTATGGTGTTGTAGGATTTCCCCAAGAATAGTGGCTGACCACCCCTCTTGTAGACAAGCAATTTAAGGACTATTTATTTCAGTTATGTATTTTCAGCACTTTAGGGGTTATAGTAGACTTAAGGGCTAAGAAAATTTGAGGCTTTCACATTGTGCAAGTCTGTATTCCACTGATTTGTGTTCCTTTTCCCTGCCCGTGAGATGCACAGTGTTTGTTAATAAGCTAATAAAGTAATAAACATCTACTGTATTACCTCTGTAATGGGGATACCAATCACAGCTTCAAATGGCTAATAAGTGGTACAAGCAGCATTGCCAATGTTGGCAGGGGTCCAGCATAATAATGGTATTAATAGTAATATATACAATAACATTTGGAGTTTATATGATACCCTTTATTAGCTGACCTAAGTTATTCAAACTTTTGGGATAACTTATGTCCGATCATCTTCTTCTTTCCTGTAGTTTTCAGGAGTCCCTCCAGCGCTGGTGCCTGTCTCTGTTCCAGTGCTGACTGCTGTGTCTTCTGTGTCCCATGGAGTCTGTGCAGGGGCACGCTGCCGGGCTGCCTGCATTGACTTACCCTGTATCTATCCTCTTCTCCCGGCTGAAGATCTCTACTGCACATGCGCCCGCCCCATGATCCTTTGCAGCCGCCTTAACATTTTCAGAACTTCAAAAACGTTGTACCCTGTTTCCCCAAAAATAGGACCTACCCCAAAAGTAAGACCTAGCACTATTTTTCAAGATTCCTGTAAAATAATACCTACCCTGAAAATAAGACCTAGTTTGGTGGTAGCATGTGAGAGGGAACTTGCAGGAGAGATGGTATCAGCCTGCAGGGACATACGGTTTTAAGGGGATGACAGGGAAAAAGCTATACTCTGAGGAGTTACATTAACATAGTGATAATTTTCATACTAGTGTTGTAGGAGTTTCCTTTCAAACTGATCTATTTAAAGCCTAAGCTACACCAGTAATTTATATTCAGTGATGAAACGCCTTGCTGACATTCATCTCAGTTTCAACACACCAATGTCAACGTATGGTGCAGGTGTGACTGCTCAGTAGCAAAAGATTAAAGTTGCCTTTGTACTTTAGCCCTTAGGGTTTCATACCCGAAACGACACAATCTTTCTTCTCAGTTCAACCTAATGATGATTGGTCGCTAGCCATTAATATCACTCCCACACTTTCAGAAATACCCTGAACATGAGATAAATTGAGAAGATAGTAGAAACTACTAACCATGAATGGGGGTGTTGATTACTATTTTATATAAAATAACTTGCACAGCAAGCATTTTATATATAACTTTTCACATAAAGTATAAAGTAAAAAGTAGAACACCACTCTATTCTAAGAATTAAGTACTGCTGCATATCTGTGAGCAGCTGCCAAATACATTGTTCCATTTTAGCATACTGGGAGGCAAGATACAATCATGGAAAAATGAAAATTAAGGAGACAGATTTATAGGCAACATTAAGTTAGTTCTTTTTCCATAATAATAACACATTGTTACATCTTTCCTGTAGTTCAGAAATATATTTGTCCCACGTTGGAAAAAAATAGGAAATATAGAGTTTGATATTTCAGGACATAGTGTCCTTAGCAAGACAGAAATGTATGGTTCTTTAACAATGTGCTGAAATTTATGAAGAGGGACATCACTTTTACAGTAAATTAACTGTAACTTACTTTTAGAGGTGGCTCGTAGATTATATCTAGCCACTTGCATAGAATCAGCTTGAGTTCTGAGCACATAGCTTGTAGTATTTTCATAGTCCAGTGGTTTTACAACAGTGATAACCCCTGTGATGTTATCAATGGCAAATGCCCCTGTATGGAGGTAAACAAGGAGTTAAGAACATTATTTTCAAATACATGTACAAAGAAAAGATATTAGAACAATATAATATGTTACATAAAATAAATAATTGTATTTTCCTTCAAATACTGTGCATAAAAACAGAACAAAGTAATGAACTATAAAAATCAATATTTTGCGAAGCTTTCTCAGAATTGCCTGAATAGAGAGACAGGCAAAGAGAGAAGTAATGGTTGGATAGGGAGATTGAAAAATAAGTAAAAGTTGGTTGAGAAAGTATAACAGAATAGTTACACATATAGTTTTTTTTTAGAAAGATAAGTGATAAATTAAAGTGTATCATTCCAAGAACAAAATTATAATATATTAATTTTGCTAAGAGAACAGCCTATAGTCCTTTAGTAAATCAACCTCATTGGCTCAGTAGGAAAGCCAGTCAACTAAAGCTGGCCATACATTAGTATAATTTTGTTTGAAAAATTATTTTTCAGAATATTCGTTCAATTTTCTATTAGTCAAGTCAAAAGTATGATCATTTTAAACCATAGTGATGAAAAAAATGGAAGGAGCAAGATACATTTTGTTGTTCTCAGATACACTAAAAAGTGAAAAAAGGGAGGCAGGGAAAGAGACAGAAACATATAACCTGGTTTCTTTATTTCTATAGCCACAAAAAATAAATTACGGGTGGCCTAACTATGGCGGTGTGAGGACTCTACCTCGTTGAGCTCCGCTGCCTCCATGGCATCATTCAACTGATCCTGCCGGACAACCCGCTCTACACACCCGCTCTGCACGCTCTACCCGATGTCTAAAAGAGGTAAACTGCAGGGGGACGAAACCAGGAGGAATCTAGGTGATCTTCACTCCTTCTTTTCACCCTCCGGTCTTAACGCGATCAGCTACAGCAAACCGCAGGGCGCCTGCTGACACGCTTGCTGACACAGTGCCGCTCATAACAATACCAAGCCACGGGGACTCGGCGGGACCTCCCTCACTCACGGAATCAGGAGACCAAGTGATACAGGCTACCGGGGTTCCACGAACTTCCCCAGATATGGCTCAGGAACGATCAGTGCCGCCGACGATGATCGCAGCCCGAGCACTGCCATCTGCTACCGGGCTGCCACTCACAGCAGGGGAGATATCCGCTATCCTGCTCTCACTCCCCACTAAATGAGACATAGAGGAGATAGTCTCCAACATGGAGACAGCTCTACGACGGGATATAGCCGGTATAGTAACTACAGTCACTCATTTAGAGGAACGGACCACCACACTGCGTGCAGACCATGATGCTGTATCGCTGCAACTGTCAGAGCTGGAATCCAAGGTGCTCCATCAAGAACACCAGATCGCCTCCATGATGTTGTCCCAGGATGACCTGGAGAATCGCTCCAGGCGCAATAATGTTAAGATACGCGGCCTCCCTGAAACAACTGCACCTTCTGAACTCAGGTCAGTAGCAATCCATATCCTCAATCTAGCAATGGATAAAGCACCCGACTCACCCTTGGAGCTCGATAGGGTCCATAGGATTGGGGGTATCCACACAGACAGAGATGTGCGCCCTAGAGACGTCCTCTGTCGGGTGCACTATTACACAGTAAGAGAGGCTATTCTTCAACATGCATGGCGCAAAGGAGCGGTTCCGTTTAAGGGGACTGACATCACCCTCCTCCCAGACCTGTCTAGACGCACGCTTCTGATGCGTCGGTTACTTCAGCCACTCCTAACGGAAATACGGAACGTAGGGGCTTTATACACATGGGGGTACCCATTTTGCCTGAGTATTCGCAAGAATGGAGATTCATTTATATTACGTCACCCTGATCAATTGCCAACACTGTTCTCCTTTTTGGGGTCAGTGACGGTGGAAATCCCCGATTGGCTGCAACCTGAATTACCGGACTTTGCCTGCAATATACCACAACGTGACCTATGTAGGTGGGAGACGCCAGTGGGAGACGCCAGCTCCCGCATCCTGGACCACCACCGATAGAACCTGACGCACGACCTGATGGAGGAGACCGCATGTGGAGGGAACCGTGAGACCCTGACAAGCCTGAGCCTCCGCCCACAGTACTCACCCACGGTAGTTATCAACTCCCCTTTGATTGGAGAATCAGGACCTTCATATTTTCAGGAAACAGAGAACCTACTACAGACCACAGCTTGATCCATCAGAACCCACATCCCTAGGCGAGGACGACATCGCTCTGCTGGAAGAGTCCTTTGTCTTTGGACAATTCTGAACACTTGTCCTCCACATCCACCGACCAATGGTCATTGCCGGATGCCAGGCCTTCTTTGACGTAGGTCATTCATAGATCTATAAACTAGAGGGGCGTGGTTTGCGCATGGCGCCGAGCGGATGCACCTAGCCTGAGCTCCGTCTTCCACCCCGAGCAACCCATCTAAATATCACTCTTTACCCACATCTGAGACCTATAACTGAGGCTATTTGAACCCGAGTGCAATGGGCAAGACCCCGCGCCGCAAAGACTCGGCAAAACAATCAGGCAAGGGATCCATCAAGCACCTTTGGAAGCCACACACTCCGTCGCCAGACCGCATGGCGGGCCGATCAGCACGAGGCCGCGAATCCGGTACGACCCTGCCGCCATCTGGTGCTTCTCCACCGGCTCGCTCACACTCACCTGCCTTCTCGTCTGCCTCTCAGGACTCTGACCCGGGATCTGAGATGTGGTGGCGACTCTAGCGAGACACCTTCCAAGTAAGTCGGACCTGACTGAAATGTTCTCCCGCCTTGAACAATCTCTGAAATCTGAGATTTCCTCAGTCAAGGCGGAGGTATCCCATGTGCTTCATCGAGTGGAGGATGCGGAGTCTCGCCTGGACACTCATGCCCGAGCCATCATAGAACTGCAGGAACGCAGCACAACCACGCAGATGGCCATGAGATCAGCTCTTTATAAGCTGGAGGATCAGGAGAACCGGAATCGTCGTAACAACTTGAGGGTTCGCGGCCTACCTGATGCCACCCGTGATGCGGACCTTGGAGACACACAGCGGGGCATCTTCAACGGCCTCTTGGAGCGGCCACCTACCTCACCGATGTCATTTGACAGGGCCCATAGAGCACTACGTCCGCGAATAGGAGCGGGTGAGTCGCCAAGAGATGTCATAGTGCGATTTCATTACTATACTGATAAGGCTATGGTGGCAGATCGCCTCAGGGGCACGGCTGATGTAGATTTTGATGGGGCCAAGTTGCACATCTACCCTGATCTGGCGGCTGAGACCTTGTCCAGAAGACGGGCCCTGAAGCCTTTACTCCAACTGATGCGGGATAACGACATCACCTACCGTTGGGGATTCCCAGCATGCTTGATAGGCACACGTGCAGGACACTCTGCTACCCTCAGATTTCCGGAGGATTTACCAAGTTTCTGTGACAAGCTGGATATATCACCTCCTGAGTTGCCTGGATGGGCTGATCCCACTCCTGGATGGGTCAAACTACCCTCATCACAATGGCAGCAACAGTCACCGAAACCACGCCGCACCCCACGGAGGCAACCGTCAACCAGATCTACTAATTCGGCAGCCCCATGAAGTGGTGTATTTCTGATAAGAATCGCTATATTATCTGGCACCAGATGCCCTACAGTTCTACGGTTTTATTTTTTCCATTTCTTATGCATTTTTTCTCTACACATCCCGATAGCTCTTCGTTGGGGGGTTGCCCCCAGATACACCGCCAAGTCACTGCTAGCTAGATGTGGTTCTACTTCACCAGAAGCCTTACCTGCATAGAGTGGAACTGTTTTTGCCGTTGTTGTTTTTCTCTTTTAAGTTGACCGTGAGCTCATGCAGGATACAGAGTCAGCTCAGGTGACTTAGCCCTGACTATGTTGCCTAACGTCAGGTCGGACCGTCCTTTTCTTCTTTTTCTGGCGTATGACGTCCCAGAGTGGTTACTACACAGTGCTAAGTTATAGTTACTTGTTTGTTTTATTTTTGCGGTTTTTTGTTCCTTGTTCTCTTTTTTGGGTTTGCTCGGGGGGTGGCGGCCGCTGGCCTGGTCACAGAGATAGAAGGAGGTCGGATGTCTCCGCTTGGGTCAAGCCCTTCACCCCCCACTAGGCGGCCTCTCACGTGGCCCTTGTTGGACCACGTGACAAGGCTCTTGTGTCATGTTTGGCACGCATATTACTGTATTGCCTTAATGTACTGTCTTGCAATGTCTGTATATCCCCCCCCTGTATTGTTTTATCCTTACCTTCTCCCTCCTCAGGGGACCACCCTCGCTCTGGACTCAGATGCATACCGAGTGCACACCCCTCCAAATCCAAGATGGCGTCCCTTCGACTAGTGTCCTATAAATCGGACTCTATGGTCCACTGTACTGAAGACATTGCTGAGGTGTTCCGGGAATTTTACCAGTAACTCTACAGGGTTAAACCCCCCTCCGCGTCCCTGCCCACCCCCGACATCTCCGACAGAGTCAAACAATACATAGACAAAGCAGGTCTCCCCACAGTACCAAAAGATGTTCTGCTAACCCTAGAATCTCCCATAACACTAACAGAAATTGGACAAGCCATTAACTCCTCTCCCCTGGGCAAGAGTCCAGGCCCTGATGGATTCCCTCTTTTATATTATAAACGTTTCCAGACCATATTAGCCCCCTTTTTTAGCCGCTATGTCAACTCCATTGAAGCTGACCTACCTTTGCGCCCTGAATCATTACTGGCCCATATTACCCTCCTGGCTAAACCAGATAAAGACCCATCATGCTGTTCCAGCTATCGCCCTATATCGCTCATGAACGTGGACACTAAAATATATGCCAAGATCCTAGCTTCCAGGCTTAGCCTCCTCCTGCCCCAATGGGTCCACACAGACCAAGTGGGTTTTTTATCCCAGGGAGAGAGGCAAGGGATAGGGCTATTAAATCAGTGTCTCGAATTCACCTGGCCCAGAAACTGAACTCCCCAGTCTTACTCTTGTCCACTGATGCTGAAAAGGCATTCGACAGAGTGGA